AAACCCCCAAAGAATCCAATTTAAAAAATGAACAAGAATCTGAATGGACATTTCTTCAAAGAAGAAACACACATGGTTCACAGCACCTATCATCAGTCAGCTGGGAAATGAAAACCAAAAGCACATTGAGATTCCATTTCAGACCCATTAGGACTGTGACTTTTCAATACCCCAGAAAATAACACTGGTGGTGAGGATATAAAAAAATTAGGACCTTCTTTCTTGGTGTGGCATATAGGATGCTGCTGCCACTGTGGAAAATAGTGTGGTAGTTCTTCAAAAAGTGAAATATAAAATTATCATATTACCCAGTAATTCTCCTAAGTATATACCCTAAAGAATTGAGGAAGATACTCAAACAGAAATTGGAATAATAATATCCACAGCATCCCAAAGTAGAATTAATTGAGATATCCATCAAATGAAAATAGAAAAATGAAGTATGCCCAGGTGACAGAATCATATTTGGCCATAAAAAGGAATATTACTGATGCATACTACACTATAGATGGACCTTAAAAATACCTTATTAAAGAAGTCAGACACAGAAAGTTATATATTATATGATTCCACTTATATGAAATATTTAAGATAGTGAAATCCATAGGAACAGAAAGCAGATTAATATTCAGCCTAGGAGCTGAATGAGGATGAAATGGGACATAACTATTTAGTGGGTATGGAATTTCCTTCTTTTTTTGGAATATTTTGAAACAAAAGGCGATGGTTGCACAACCTTATAAATGTAGTAAATACTACTGAGTTTTTGGTTTGGGAGTTTTTTATTTTTATTTTTTGTTTTTTGGTGTGGTTTTTTTTGTTGTTCGTTTTGGATTGGCTTGTTGTTTGTTTGTTTGTTTTGTTTTTTGTTTTGGTAGTACCAAGGGTTGAACTCGGTGCTGTATGCTTTCTAGGCAGAGTCTCTCCCACTTGAGCCATATTTCCAGCTATTTTGCTTTGCTTATTTATTTAAAATAGGGTTTGGCTTTTTTTGTCCATGCTGGCTTGGATGGTAACCCCCTGTTCCTACTCACTACTGTAAACTGAGATGGTCATCTTGTGCCACTACATTCGACTTTGTTGACATAGGATCTAGTGAACTTTATTTATTTATGTTTTTTTTTGCCAGGGCTGGCCTGGGACTATGATTCTATGCTTCCCAAGTAGCTATGATATAAATTGCCCATTTTAAAGTAATGTGGAAGTGGCAAGAAGGAACTATATGAAATTCCAGGTATCTCCTACTTTAGTTAGATACCCGGTCAATGATAACAAAGGGAACCAGTAAGTTACTTCGGTTGATAGATAAATGTATCCTTCAATACCTTCTTTTTTTTTTTTTTGCCGGTCATGGACCTGAACTCTGGGCCTGGGTGCTGTCCCTCAGCTCTTCAGCTCAAGGTGAGCGCTCTACCACTTGAGCCACAGTGCCACTTCCGGCTTTTTCTGTTTATGTGGTGCTGAGGAATCAAACCCAGGGCCTCAGGCATGCAAGGCAAGCACTCTACCACTGAGCCACCTTCCCAGCCCTCCTTCAATACCTTCTGCAAATAAATTCTCTTTTCACTCTCAGGAAGGTAGGATTGGAATTTCTAACCATCTCCCTCATTGTTCACGTAGTAGGCAGACTCATTTATTTCACTTGTGGGCAATCTAACCAAAGTGTGCCTAAAAGAAATCATGTATTGCAGACCTTGGTCCACAGTAAACGAGGAAGTAACTTTCAAAGCTCTTACAATTTGCCACTAGTTAAACTGAGGTTGTAATGCTACCTAGTTTCCAGTTCATACACAAAAATCCAAAGAACTTGAGATTCACAAATTGATATAATTTCATAATTATATGAATTTCATAATGAGTTTCATAATTTAATAATATAAATTTCATAATTTCAATATGAATTTCATAAAAATGCAGAGCCTTGCAGATGAAAGTTGAAGCAAGGGTATATTTTAGCTAAGAGAGAAGAATAGAAAGAATTAGAGAAAAGGAAGAAACATTTCCTGCCCTTAATTTCATACAGTATTTTTTACCTGGAATCTTTATAAAGCAGGCTGGAGGGAATATATGTGATCATGCCTGTCTAGCAATTCCTGATCATCAGAGACAATCAGTGGTTCTGTGTGGCCATAATGATTGCTGTTTATTATTCTGAAACATGGAGATGTACTCTAGGCCTACCCAGAACACAGGGACAATAGGTGCTTCAGGACTTCCCCTTGCCAGGTCTGACCTCCATTTGTGAAGAGTGTACAGCTTTGTAACACCTTAAAGTAGAAGACAGGTGCAGAGAGGCCAATTATGTTCTTATTCGTGTAACTTCTAAAGAAGGTGATAGAAGGTGAGCTGGCTAATCTGGTTTTTCAGTTCTAATTTCTGTGTCTGCCACGTTCAGTATTTATTGGGGTTTGTTTTTGTTTTATTTATTTTCATGGCTGCTCATCTATCTACCCTGTAGAGGAAATCTGATGGTCAGGTGACCTTGTGCCCATGTGACTATGTGCTAACAATCAGCTGGGGTTGACAGCATGTGCCCCCTTGAGACTAGTCAAAGATTCTCTGTCCCTTTCCTCCTACTGGGTTACATGCCAGGTTGCTCGTCCTCCCTCCTCTCCTCTCACCCCTATAGCACCACCACTGAACAGAACCTTCACCTTTAGACTCTACTCCGAAGAGTATCGTAAAGACTCCCATTAAAATGTAAGTTTGCCATCTGGAGGAGAGAGTAAAAGTCCCCAGAGCCACAACTTGTTCCCACAGTAGAAGAAGCTCCAGGTAAGATCTGTTCATGTGCAGCTAAGATTGGGGTAGAGGGAAGAAGCTCAGGTGATAAGAACCAGCTGGGCTAGTCCCGGTTTTTCAGCCCGAGGGCAGGGATTAGTGGTGGACAGGAGAGGGAAGCACAAAGCAGACTTCTCAGCTTTGGCATGCCACTAGTTCTGCCAGGGTCACAGTGTTGCCTGGGATGGACTCCCTTCCAAGCTCAGGTTAACTTGGTTGGCCTAAATATGTTGTACTATATGCCTGGTTCTTGCATGGTTTTGGCCTCTGGGGTGTTGTATAACTCCAGGTATGCCTGGCCTACCCCAGCTGTCCCAACCCTGCCAAGGAGTTACAATCATGTAACCAGCCCCTGGTAAGGCCTGGCTTTTTTGTTTGTTTTCTTCTTCTAATGCAATGTGGAAGCAAAGAACTTGAGACTATCCTTTTAGTCTCTGGAAATTGTTCACCTCCATAAAATGAAAAGCAACCATTCTGACATCAGGCCACAACCAATCAAGGGGCAGCAAAAAGGATCAGGAATAACTCAGGGTCACTTCTGTGTCTCTTCCTATTCTTGTGCACACACAATTCCTAGGCCTTATGGCTTTCCTAGATCAGAGTACAGTGCTACCCTCACAGAAGCCAGCTGATGTCACCTTCCCCAAAGCTCCAAGGGCAGTCATGATCCTAATCTAATCAAACTTTTATTTGGGCTTATTTTGCCACCTTCTCCCTCCCCCTTCTCCTTTTTTTTTGCCAGACTTGGAATTAAACTTTGGGCCTGCCTTGTTCTTGCTAGGCAGATGCCCTGCCACTTGAACCATGCCCCCAGCTCTTGTTTTGCCTTTTTGATTTTGAGTAGGAACCTTTGGCCTCTTCTTGAGATACTGTTCCGTCAAGAGTTGCAGTAAACTTGGAAGAATGCCAATTTGGAGCTTCAGTTGCTGTTATGTGTAAGGTGCCAGACATATTCAGACACTTGGACCATAGTGGAATCAATAAGAAAAACTGAGTTGTGGTTTTATACATTTTTAGCAAGGAAACAACAATGGGAAATAGTGTGTAAATGTGGACAAGTCACCTTCCCCCTGGGAGCCTCTAATTTCTCATCTGGGAAATCCTACTTTATAACATTAACTCATTCAATGAACCAAGACATCCAAACACTCAATCTCAAGGCTGGACATAGTTATTGCTCCTTAGGCTGCTATTATTATCATCCTGAGTCTGAAAGCTATGAGATCATAGTTGAAAAATGTAGCTTCAACAAGGGTAGTTTTCTCATAGTTGCTCCTGCTAGAGTAGTTTGGAGCTGAACTTGGCTGGAAACTAAGACAATCTGGGATGAGGACACTTTTATGGCTTTAGTTCCTTGAGATCTTTTCCTGGCCTCAAACCTCAGTGCTCACCATGTGTTCAGCCCGGTATCTGGCATCCTTTTTGTGCACCTAGATAATGTTTCTCTTGAGATAGGGGTGGGAAATAATTTCTTAGGGTTCCCTGGGGGAAAGGACATTGGACACAGTCAGTTTGTTAATCTCAGAGGCTCTCCTGGTACTCCCCTCCCCAGAAAGAAAGAAAGAGAGAGAGAGAAAGGAAGGAAGGAAGGAAAAAAGAAAAGGAAGGAGAGAAAGAAAGCAATGAGAAAGGTTTATCTGGCCAGCAGGAAATGTCCTTCAGGCAAAATGATTGATTTCTAAAACCTGTGACGTCACCTCTCCAGACGACTCTCCTCTTCTGTTTGGTTAACACAAGGGAGATTTAACCGGAAGAGTCCCTGACCTGTGGGTCTGCCTGAACTGAGCAGGGGAAGCTGCCTGGCACAGCCGGCTCTGGCTCAGCTTAGGCTGGGTCCAGCTGACCTTCCTCTAGGCTCTGGGAGCCAAAACTAAAAAGGCAGTCAGTTCTCAAAATTATCTGGGAAATGATTAACTTCTCTTCTTTGATCCTTTCCGCCTTGTGTGAGGACGGTCAAGTGGCCAGGGTGGAGAACGCGTTCTGTAATTTCCACCATTGCTAAGGTAAACAGTGGAAGAAATTCTGCCAGAGAGATCCACCTCTCTTTGGAGAGTTTGAGTGTGTGTGTGTGTGTGTGTGTGTGTGTGTGTGTGTGTGTGTGTGTGTGTGTGTATGAGAGAGAGAGAGAGAGCTCTGTAAACACAAACTATTAAGTAAAAAACTATAGCTGCTTCCGCTGACTTTTTTTTCTTGCTCTTCCCCCTCCCCTTTTTTTTAAGGTCTACGTTTCCTGCTGCTGGTCACAAGGATGCTTTTTATTTTTAACTTCTTGTTCTCCCCACTTCCCACCCCGGCACTGATTTGCCTCCTGACTTTTGGAACGGCCATCTTCCTATGGTTGATCAACAGACCTCAGCCATTCTTATCCCCCATTGACCTGGATAATCAGTCTGTGGGAATTGAGGTAATTTTCCAGCCATCTTTCTAGTTGGACAGCCTTGTTCAACCAAACTATAGCTTCAGGTCCAAGGGATAATTCATAAAGAGGAAGGGGTTTAGGTATAGTGTAGGAAAGAAGACTTTTTAGGTTGCTGATCAACAGGCCAACTACAAATTTAAAATTCCATTACTAGTATATTTTTCAATAACAAAATTAAAACATAGCTAGATCACAGGATGCCAGAAATCAAGATCTGAGGTTGGCGAACTACAGGCTTTAGGCAACTTCTTTTCTTGTGTAAGCCGAGAAAAGTTTTCATGTTTTTCAAGGGACAAATAAAAAAGGAGAGGGGTCACACTAAATTTCCCAAAGCCTAAAATAGTCTCATCTAGCTGTTTAGAGAAAAAGTCTGCTAATGTATGATCTAGATGACAGAGACAGGAAGTAGGGAACACTTTCATAGAAATACCCGTCGTTTGAGAAGGGTTAAAGCTGATGTTTTCTTGATTTTAAGTCTGACATCAAGTTAACAATCATTCTGAATACTGGTAGAAACTGAAGGGCTAATTTCTCCTAGTTTTTATCAGGGCACCGGCTTCCTCCTACACCTGTGTTGACACTTGGAAAGTTCCAAAAATGTTCTTTTCATCTCTTTGTGAATAGCATTGTCTCCTTTCATCTTATTTCTTCTTCAGAGAGCAAATTTTCTTGTTCCTTTGCAGACTGACAACCCTTTCTCTTCTTTTCACAAGCTCCTTTCATCTACTCAGGAATCTTACCTCAAGAGTCCTGTGTTCTCTACCATCCCACCATCTTTTGTGCCATCAAACTTTCCACCTTTCTTTACGATTTTGCTGTCCTGTCTGCCCCCAGCCACTCTCTTCTCTCAGTCTTTCCCACCAGAGATCTTTAGGAGTAGTCTCTGTGTTGATTTCTTCTTCTGACCTTCAACCTCTCCGGTCTGACCTTTTGCCATTCAAGCCTTCTCCATGGTACTGGAGACATATCTTTATTTACAACCTACCTTCTGAATTCAATGGCTTCTCCTTTAAGCTTTCTCTCAACTGACCTAAGACTTCTTTCTTGAAACTTTTTGTCATACTCTCTATGAGGTTCTTCCTAAACCAAGGAAGTTTTTCATTGTCACCTGGGTTTTTTCCTCTCTTTATCCTAGGGTGTTTTTTTCCCCCTCAACATCTTTTGATTCATTTATACTAGTTGGCAAATGCACTCTCTACCAGCCCATGCAGGAAATAGTTAAGATTTTATGAGATAGATGGTCCCTGATGTAGCTTGTTTATGTGGCTGTAGTTGAGTGAATGTATCAGTCAATATGCAAACAAATAAGTATGATTGTTCCAATAAAACTTTATGTACAAAAGCAAATGACATGCCAGATTCAGCCCACAACCTTTGCTCTCTACCTTCTAATGGCTGAGAAAACATTTCCCTTTAATGACTTAGAAATGTGCCTGAAAGCTGTGAGACCCAAATTTAATCTTGTAGATCTCACCTCAGGAAGCCGAAGTAACTCAAGCTCTACATGGCTCTTGATTTCACTTCATGTTCCCTTTGTTCTCTATCTCTGTCTCTCTCTCCCTTTCTGCCTTCCTTCCTCCTCCCATTTCTCTCTCTTTCGCTCTCTCTCTCTCTCTCTCTCTCTCTCTCTCTCTCACACACACACACACACGCACATATACACAAACACACACTTTCCTGTTCTATCTCCAAATGATGAATTGTCTGGTTCTTTCTTCTCCTGGCAATATTCCCTTGGGTTCTATACTTGTTATTTATGCCCTTCAAGTGCTTCCTTTATAGACCTTATCTTGGCTAGTAGTTTACATTTTTTTGAACACTTATCCTTTTAGATTCTTTTTTAGACCAAAGATAGTGCTCTACCACTTGAGCCACAGCACCACTTTCAGTTTTCTGGTGGTTTATTAGAAATAAGAGTTTCACAGCCTTTCCTGCCAGGGCTGGCTTTGAACCGTGATCCTCAGATCTCAACCTCCTAAGTAGCTAGGATTATAGGCATGAACCACCGATGCCGGCTCAATTCTCAATTTCCTATTTTCTTCCCCCAGCAGTAATCTTATGATTTGATTTGCCCCCTCATCTTTAAGCTCCCCTCCTCCCCTGCCTTTTTTCAAGTTGTTTGTTTTTTTCTGGTTGTTGCTCTTTTTTCTCTCTCCTACCTTACTAAAATTATGTCTCTACTAAAATCTTATTTCTTTGCTGGAACCTTTCTACTTTTTATATAGAATCAGCTGCTTCATTTATCTCCTGAATCATATATTTTTATTACGGTATGTACTTCACAGTATTATATTACCTACCACATTCCAGAAATGTCAGCATATGAAGTGCTCAGAGCCCCTATTTGATCTAAACTTGCACCTATAGTATCTGTGCCCAGTGCCTAGGATGTAGTGTAGTATGATGCATTTGGCATAGATTTAAACTTGACATTTTCAAAAAATAGAAATCTATGCATAGAAAAATCTTTCTCCTCCTCCTCTTTCTCTCTCTCTTTTCCTCTCTCTCTTTCTCTCTTCATCTTTATATGTATGCACATTTATATGTTACCAGATAGAATCATGACAATTTCTGGGTGGTGGGATTTCAGGTCAGATTTACTGTTTTCTTTAGTTTCATATATTCCAAAATTTCTGTGGTGTGATCATACCACAATTATGAGATTTAGAAAACTGAATTAGAAAGTTGATTCAGGTTTAGAAAATTGATCAATACATGTCAGATTTTTATTAGCTTTTCTTTATAGTTTCACTTGTTCCAAAATTTCTGTGCTAATATTTTACCACAGTGAAGAGATTTAGAAAACAGATAACATCACTGTGACCTCAAAATCATCACTCTTCAGTTCAGCCCCTTAAGTTTTTGTAAAGAGTACAGTGAGACTTGCACTTGGGCCTAAACTTGGTCTTGTGTCTTAGGGAGGAGCGCGGAAGGGTGCTTACCAGAAGAACAACGACCTTATGCGTTATTACTTCTCAGATGCCAAGACAGTGTATGAAATTTTCCAGAGAGGACTTGCTGTGTCTGGTAAGCCTGGCCTGGCCTGTAAGAAGCTTCAGGTGGAACTGTCCCACATTCTTCTCCTCTGTCTCATTTCTAAAACCCCAGCTCTTTAGATGTCATGGCCCAAAAAGGAATATAATGTACAAGTAGAGGCAACATTAGCCTCCGCATGGGGGATAAGTCTTGGACATGGCGCAAGAGAGATGTGGTTTTGAAACCTACTTCTTCCATTTGGACCCACTGGTTAAGCTCACACAAATGACTTTGCTTCTCTGATCTGTTCCTCAACAGAAGAAACTTCCTTGACCAGTGTCAGGAGATAATGAGGTATGGGAAAGGCTTTTGATTAACTCACTAGTAATAGCATCTGTTCAAGAACATGCTTGTTGGACATAAATTTCCCTGTGTTTACACAGGGAGAGTCTGAGGCAGGATTAGTGGTCTAGATTCTTAACTTCTTACCCTTGGTTCCAATGCAATATTTCTAGCCCTGCCACGATACTTAATATCACAGAGGCAATTATCTTGGGGTTTTCTCTGAAACAGCACCAAGTGGGGTTCTGATCATTTGGAACAGATCCAGTCTTTATATTTTGTATTACTGAACACAATGCTAGGAAGCCAAATTTTCTTTCAAAATCTCCTGGCTGTTAGCTCTCCTTGAGTGACACTTTGCTAGGTGTAGGTTTGCTTGAGTGGCTACTTATCCCTTCCTTCCTTTCTGCCTAGCAATGATATCTCTGATGTAGCCAACTTATCAAGTATGGGATAGATACTCCACATACATTATTTACTTCATCTTCGCTAAGCTCCAGGGGTTAATTGTAGTTCTCCCTGTTTTTACAAATAAAGAAACGGTAACTCCAAGCTTGAAGAATATTCCAAAGGTCACAGGACTAGGAAATGTTGGAGTTGATATTGAAGCCCATGTCTAGCTGATTGGACGGTTCTATTTTAGATTAGCTTTTAGTGTTTAATAAAAATAGTTAACTCTTCTAGAAATGACCTGTTTATTATAAAGAAAGCTCCATGAGATCATTTATTTAAATGTCTTTCTGGGGTCCCAATTAGCATTTGTTTACACTCCATGCAATAAAACAAAAAAAACAAAAACAAAAAAAAACTAAGCTTTAATTTCTTAACTTCTCTGAGAAGTTCTTAACTTCTCTTAACTTGTCAGAGAGTTGATAGCTTAAAACAGTAGGATGTCCTTTGGGATTTCTGTTTTCAGAATTTTTATTTAGGGAACATGTATTGTTATTGTGACTAAAACAAAGTCATTTGCCTATGATATATGGCTGTGGCACATAGAAAGTGAAGGTGCAAACCAGCATGAGTAATGGCTTATCTGCTAACAAAGAAAAATGATAATTGTGTTACATAGGTTGAATATGTTAGTATAAGTATAACCTTCTAAGTCCTAGGCAGTTATAGTTCATCTACATTGAGAATCACCTGTGGCTATCATTTGAATTTATTAGTCCCACTGAATCAGGATTTCAGGTGGTGAAATTTAATAAACTCCAGGAAGTATTTTAAAATTGCATAGCTTCTGAGGATTCTGCATATCAGAGTTTAAATTCTTCTTAGCTTGAGGGGCCTACTTGGCCAAGAAGTTGTTTATTGCTAGGCTCTTTGGAGCTAGCCACACCTTAGAACCCAGCTGGGTCTGAAGTGATTAAGTTAATAAAAAGTGACCAGGCTATTGCCTGGTCATGATTCCAGCTAATAGGCTAAAGTTGGCTAGGGAATAGAATTTAATGAGATTTGAGTTATTGTCCCATTGGGGCAATTACTTGACTTCTTCCTTGGCCAGGGGCCTCTCTTAGCATTTCTATTAATCAAGAAATAATAAGGAGATGTAGGGTATTTTCTTCTTCATTTGACAGCTCAACCTCTTCCTGGATGAGCTTGAAAACGTTGCCCCAATCCTCCATAATTCTTACTCCAGTAAGTCTGAAAATCGTGGGAGAGAACCAAAGAAATTAATGTGCCTGGCACAACACAAGCTTTCCGTCAGCAGGTAGCAATCATTAGTGACTAGCATTACAACATACCATGTCACAACAGTGTCTGATGTTGTCCACTGCGGAACAGGACTTGCCACACTTCAGGGAAAGTTAAGATTGAGAGTTTTACTTCTAGAGCTACACTGTAACTATTGCAACAGAAAGAAAAGTGCTACTGTTTTCTCACTCATATTTTGTATCTCCCTAATCAGAGTAAATGTCCTTTTCCTGCTTTCCTCTTTTTCTTTTCCCTCTGTCACCTAGTTGGAAAGTTCATTTATTAGCTCCTAAATTCCTAGTCATCTTCCCTTGAATGTTTCTCAGCAATTCAGCCTGATCCTTGATGTACAGTTCTTCCCTTGATACTTTTCTGTTTATAATACAGCCTCCTTTCATTTGGGCTTAGATGTGGAAGACTTCTCAGCCACTTGTGGTTAACCTTTAACTTAAAACCATAACCTCTCAAGCTTATTTTACCAAGGAAACTATTTGATCTAATAAGTAGATGTCTTCAGATTTATTTTAAATTTTAATAAGGCCAAGTGGTTTAGCCGTTTAGAAGTTGAATTTTTTGAGGCCATATGTAAGACACCAATTGGGAAAATATCAAAGGCAAATGTGTGTTCTTGTAGTTCTTGATAAGCTTCCCCATCATAAAAAATAGTTTCATATAAACAAGAAAAGTACAGAAACAGATGATCTATGATAGTAAAACCTAAGAAACAAATAAGGAAAAGGTCCTGCTTCATTAGCCATTGAAAGAAACTTAAAACTACCAAATCAGAAGATGTTTTTAGGAGGTGAAAAATAAGTGATCATTAACCAGATGTCAGTGGCTCATGCCTTTGACCTTAGAAACTGAGATTGGAGGACTGACGTTCAAAGCTTGCCTTCAGTTTATCAGCAAAATACTGGACTGGAGGCATGGTAGAGTACTAGCTGTGAGTAGAAAAAGCCAAGTAAGATGATAAGGCCCTGAATAAAGGCCCTGATACCAACACACCCACACACCCACCCACCCATCCACACACATATACAGGTCACAACTCTTTTGCCAAGCATTGCAGTGCTAGGTAACCAAAGCCATACTCCTTTTCCCAGACCACATATTTCTTTCCAACAAGACAATGCTCTAATGTTGAAACTATCAGTTTGAAAATATGTCACATTGCATTATTTAAGGTGCCTTAGAAACTTGGAACCAATCTAAGTATCCACAATGAAAGGTAATCCATGACATAGAGCACTTCTTCATATGGCCATTGAAATCTCTGCAGAAAAGGAAAAGTGTGAGCCTCTTTATATCAAATTGGAGAAGGAAACGGGATACCAAATTATGACATTTATTCCAAAATGTGAATGAGCATAACTCTTTAAACTACACAAACAAACTAAGGAAGTAGTGTTAATAATAGTATTTGCAGGTTAAAATTGATGGTTCATATTTTTATTTTTTCCTATATTTCTATATTTCCTATATTCCTATATTTTCTATATTTCTATATGTATATGAGTATACATTTATTTTATGGAAGCTTAATCCAAGATTATTCCATACACACTGTTTGCATTTATTTATAGGTATTCATTTGATCTCAGTATGTGGGCAGGCCGTGTTGATGACTTTCTCTGAATGCCCGCCATTACTATGGTCATAGACTCAGTACTGGACCATTCTCTTTTGTAACATTTCCTAAATGTTTCAAATATAGTTTATAGGAATCTGCCTTTGAGGACTCAGCACTGACTGCCCCTGAATTTCCTGGCTATATAAGAGATGCTCACATTCTTACTGGATTTATCCTTTGTGCTGTTACCTCTTCTGAATATCTTTAATCCCTCTACAAAGTGTTTACCACAGGAGCTGATTTTCTCTTAATGTTTTGTTTTAGACAATGGGCCCTGCTTGGGATACAGAAAACCAAACCAGCCATATAGATGGTTGTCCTACAAACAGGTAAGTCAGGCCAGTGATTTTAGACAGATTATTTTGCTAATATATTATCTGAGCTGATTTGTGTTCTTCCCTCCCTCTCTCCCTCCCTCTCTCCCTTCCTTCCTTCCTTCCTTCCTCTTTCTTTCTTTCTTTCTTTCTTTCTTTCTTTCTTTCTTTCTTTCTTTCTTTCTTTCTTTCTTTCTCTCTCTCTCTCTCTCTCTCTCTCTTTCTTTCTGTCGTGGGCTTGAACTCAAGGCCTGGACACTGTTCCACTTCTTAAGGCTGGCACTCTATCACTTGATCCATAGCTCTACTTCCAGCTTTTTTGGTGCTTAATTGGAGATAAATGTTTCACAGAATTTCCTACTCAGGCTGGCTTTGAACTGCAATCCTCAGATCTCAGCCTCCTGAGTAGGTAGGGTTACAGGTAAGAGCCACCTAACTTGCTCTCTCCCCACCCCTCTCACGTAGGTATCTGATCGAGCAGAGTATCTGGGCTCCTGTCTCTTATATAAAGGATATAAACCATCACCGGACCAGTTTGTTGGCATCTTTGCTCAGAACAGACCAGAGGTAACCATGTTGAAGCTAACTAAAGAAAATGGCATCCTCTCCAGTGCATCCCCATGACACTTGCTGATGACTTACCAAAGCTATAAAGATTTCATAATGCTTACTTCTCTACCTGTGTTAGGACTAAGAGCTACCTAAAATCCTAGTCATCTAATGTGTGTGTTTGAAGTTTTATTTCCCACCCGGTGGGAATGATTTAAGTCAGCCTGATTGTGATATGGGGAAAATAAGAAAATTGTGAAGGTATTCTAGATAGCGATGAGTTCATATTTGAACTGGGATTAGCTTGTTGTATACTTGAGCTGGTAAGCCATCACCCATTGCTCCTGAGTCTGGTCATCTCCCACTTTCCATAGTGACCTGAAAACAGTTATTACCTGTTTAGATGATTGGAACTAACCTTATTTCCAAGTTCCAGTAAAGTCATTAGGTCCAATATACTAAGTAGAGTTCACAGGCTACACTTTTAGGGGACTCTATACTCCATTTTTTGCTATATCCACTTTCCAGAAAAGATGTCCTTGACACTGGTTTAGGCATTTAACACCAAACTTTGTGCTATTGGTCTGCTAGGGTTACCATAATAAAATGCACAAGAATGTCAGTAGATTGGATGTCTCCTGAGACCTTTCTCTGTGGTCACTTATTTGTTATGATCTCACTTGGCATCTTCTTTGTGCACATGCATCCTGGTGTGTCTTCCTCTTCTCATGAAAGCACCAGGCCTACACAGCTCTACTTGTACAACCTCATTTAACAGTGCTTACCTTCCAAATGCCCTATCTCAAATACAGTCATGTTGGGCAGAGGCGGGGTGTTTAAGGATTCAACATGTGTTTGGAGCAGAGAAGGGGAATACAGTTGAGTCTATAATACTTAAGCTGGCAATGAAGGCCCACTCCTAGCAGATTCTCCTCTCCCTTTCCAACTTTACTTCCTGTCTCTCTTCACACTCTTGAGTATGTAGACACAGTGGTGCTGGTTCTCTTTTGTGTCATTTTCTTCCTTCTTCTTTAAGTGCCTTCTCTGCCTCCTCCACAACCAAGTCCTTTGAAGCTGTCCCTTTTCCTCATCTCTTCAAAGTAGCCTCAGAGAGTTTTGACCCATTCTTGAAAGTGATCTCTGTCTCCTGAAGCTTCCCTAATATCTCCCACAGTCTCCTATAGATGGAGCAGACACATTCTGCCTTTGTATGTGAGCCTGTGTTGTGACTACCTTATCTCCTCAGTGACAGTTCCTATGGCTAGCCATGCAGTGGTTTTTTAAAAAATATAATATGTACCAAATAAGCATTTGAAGCTAAATTAACACTCTTCAAAGATCATCTTCCAGGACTTACTTGAACTTCTCTCCCTACAGTGGGTCATCTCTGAGTTGGCTTGTTACACATACTCCATGGTAGCTGTCCCCCTGTATGACACCTTGGGAGCAGAAGCTATCATATACATTGTCAACAAGGGTAAACGTTTGCTATGACTTTACAACTTGATTCTGTCTTAATGCAGAATAATGTTTGTTTAAGCAGATTTGAAATGCTTTTAGCCAGAAAATAATGCTTTGGTCTTTCCTATCCTATACTTCTTAGGAAATAATTTACAGGGAAATTACAAAGAAATAAAAGGCCCTGGAGGCAAAGATATTCTTAGATTAGTGTTTCCACAAAATAGTTCAAGGTAAGGTGGTCTAGAACTGTATCTTAGAGTCAAGACTGTTTACTTTAAGTGTACTGGATAAAACTCTAAAGAGTGAGCTTAACTGGCTAAATAACCATGGAACTACATAATTAATTTCCTAGCCTTATGGATTAGGTCACTTTGGCAGCACATACACTAAACTCCAGTCATTACAATTACCCAACATGCATCTATATTCATGGTGATTTCATAGGAAAAGAAATGACATTGTTATGAGAAGTACAAGTTGTCATGTC